GCTGCACCAGCAGCCACAGCAGAGTAGGAGTGGTCCCGATCCCGCTCTCGGTTCAACCGTCGGGTAAGAACGCTGACTCAGAGTCTAGAGTACCAATCCGAGCCCCGATAAGTGCTCCCTGTTCTTAGTCCCATGTCCCCAATTCCAACTGACAAGACGGGACAAGGGGAGCGCAAATTGTTGAAATGACCAAGAAAGGAATAAGGGGGGTTGAAATGAAAGAACACATATCACTTGTTCCAGCTCAAATGGCAGTTCCGGAGTCAAGAGCACGAGGCAAACAAGACGTTGACAAAATGAGGGGTGGGAGAGGGGGGGATGAAGGGGTCGCAATGGAAGTAAATGAAACGAAGTAAATGAAACGACGTTACCTTCACCATCCGTGTCCTCGTTCTCCCACTTATCAGCACCCTCCTTCCCGATGAATGACATTCGTGTTGCCAGCATGGCTGAAGGAGGGTGCAAATACAAGTGAAGTAAATGAAACGACGTATCCTAAACCCTCAACCCTAACCCAAAAACCTGACCCCTAACCCCTAACCCGTAAACCCAAAAACCTGACCCCTAACCCGTACTGTTGCAACTGTCTCATAGGAGTTCATAAACTGACTACCTGGACAACCTGATTCGTCAGTCATGTTAGACCGAAGAGTGATTGGTGTGACTATGTCCTTCGATTGGTTGGCTTGAGTGAGTACTAAATCAAGCCACTGAATCGAAGTATGTAGTGGAACCAGTATCTTTTCTGTCTTCATTTCGATTAGACTGATTGGATGAGTATTTTATTGCCTGCTTGGTTGACTGGCTGGTTGTTTGACTGGTTGACAGACATGTTGAACCCACGATTCATTTCGTATTAGAACCCCCGTGCATCTCTGGTTTTTGCACATCGACATAAGTCAATATTGGAGACGGATTCGAGAATGCATACTGGAGAGAGAAGAAGTCTATATACGAGAAAAATATAGAAGAAAAAACAACACAAGGTCGAAACCATCACAAATAACCTTTTTCATACGAACAAGAATACCAGAACTGCAGATTTTAAACGACGAACTTTATAACGCCTTTTTACAAGCGAAAACGACGAGGAGAATAAATCAATAGAAATGAAATACTTATAAAAAAAAAACAACGACCATGACAAACTTATTACCGGTTGCGGCAAATCGGTAGAACCCCTGTGCGTCTGTGGCACATGCAGATCGACATAAGTCAATAAATCTTCGAGTCCAAAGTATATAAACATGCAAAAGGAACAGTGACAAAAAAAAAACATGCGAAGTACATGTCATGTAGGAAGCATAAAAAAAAAAAAAAAAAACGGAAGAGGAACCAAAACGAACGAGAAGTTACTCCAAAAAAATAATTAAAAAAAAAAACACTTATTCGGAAATATAAACAAAGGGTGAGTATGAAAAAAGAATTAAAAATTAAACGGGGGGTGAGGAAGGAGAAAAAAGAGGAAAAAAAAAAGTACCCCAATTCCATCGATAATTCACGCTCAGAACTCCTCGTAAAAAAAGTGTGCAAATTTGTGGGTCTGTAGATTTCGTCGTGATCTTTGGAGGGAAAAAAAAAAATGCGTACGGTTAAGCGTTTAGGATTTTAGGGTTTAGAGTTCAGAGTTTTAGGGTTCAGGGTTCAGGGTTTAGTGTTCAGGGTTTAGGGTTGAGGTGCAGAAACGGATGAGAGACGGTTTAGGGTTTTAGGGTTTAGGGTTTGGGAATTTAGGGATTTGGGGTTTTGGATTTCGGGTTCAGGTTTTAGGTGCAAAAACGGATGAGAGACGGGTGCAGAAACAAAGATGGACTCGGCTTCGTAGTGAATTATTTGACGGTGGGAAAACACTGTGGAAACGTAACTACCATTTCTGCTTCATTAGTCATTCACCAATTGCATTAATGTCAAAAGTGATTAAAGAAAAACAACAGTCAATGGGGAAGGAGGATTAGGGTCCGCCCTTCTTGCCACCTTAGAGACGAATGGGAAAAAAAAACAAATTATTGCACCATCTCATCGTTCGGAAAGAGGAGTGTAAGATGAACCTACCATGGTAACTGACATGAGCAACACAATAAAACGAAAAGATAAACAAAATAGGAGCGAGAAAAACAGGAGCAGCACATGTGCTTGATTGCTGTAGATTTTGCTGCGGGACACGGTCCGAGATAAATCTGTAGTGACAGGGCACTTGGAATGGTGGCCTAATAGGCAATTGAGCGACGATGCAAAACGAACAAGAACAAGAACTAAGTTGTCATTTGTTGAGTAGGTGCTTTTATAGTTTACGATATCTATCGTTACTGCTGCAGAAAAGCTGCAAGTGATCGCAAAACGAGGAAAGCTTGGAAAACAAAAATCAAAATGACAGTCCCTCCTAACAGTGTTAAGTCAGTCCCAAGGAACAACCCAAACCCCAAACCCAAGTCCCAATCCCCATCCCCAGTCCCGATTCACAGTGCCAAGTAACGGTCCCAAGTCGCAGTCGCAAATCACATTCCGAAGTTGTGCAAGAGTCCCAGTCCCGAGTCGCAGTCCTGATTACCAGTCCTAAGTAATAGTCCCAGGTCCCATTCCGAACCCATAGTCCCAACTCACAGTCCCAACTAACAGTCAAAATTCATTGTCCCAAGTCGCGGTCCGAAGTCAGTTTCCAGATTCACCGTCCCAAGTCACAGTCCCAATTCACAGTCGTAATTAACAATCCCCATCCACAGTCCCAGTCCCAGTCCAGGGAAATGAGAGAAAGATTGCCGATCGACACACGAAATGAAGAGAGAGTGGAGCAATGCAGAGAGAGTGGGAGAGAGAGCGAGAGAGAGCGAGAGAAGAAGTGACAGGAGCACCGATCGACACAGGATATGAAGCGATAAGGGGAAGAGCACCACGTGGAGAACCAATCAGCGGTGTGCACCGACCGAAGCACCGAACCAAGTACCGATCCCATCAGCGGTCCAATCACCATCCAAGGACCGTGCACGCACCAAACACGAACCAATCACCAAACAATCAATCACCGAACCGATCACCGAACCAATCAAGCAGCAAACCGATGAAACATCACGCAGCGAACCAATCAAGCGCTGATCACCGATCCAAAGCAGCGAACCAATCAAGAGAGAGCCGAGGAGAGATGAAGCACTGAACCAATCACGCAGCGAACCAATCACCGACCAAACCACTGAACCAACTACCGAACCCATCAGCAATCCAATCACCATCCAAGGACAGTGCACGCACCAAGCACGAACCGATCACCAAACAATCAAGCACCGAACCGATCACCGAACCAATTAATCAGCGAACCGACGAAGCACTGAACCAATCACGCAGCGAACGAATCAAGCGCTGATCGCCGATCCAAAGCAGCGAACCGATCACCGAGGTAATGAAGAGCACCGAACCAATCACCCGAAGCAATAAAAGTACCGAACCAATCGGCGAGCACGAAAAGAAGAACCGACCTGATCACTAATCATTCAACAAACGAATCGCCTATCCGCGAAGTAAAGAACGAAAAACCGAGCTGATGACAAACCAATCATGGCTTCGGGCACCGATCCAAGCAGGCAATCAACGGACCCGATCCAGAGAGAGTGGAGGAGAGATAGAGGGTTTAGAGAAAAAACAGCGATCCAATCACCGAACGAAATAGCGAGAAGGGAAATGAGAGAAAGATTGTCGATCAACGCACGAAATGAAGAGATAGTGGAGCAATGCAGAGAGAGTGGGAGAGAGTTTGAGAGAGAGCGAGAGAAAAAGTGACAGGACCACCGATCGACACAGGATATGAAGCGATAAGGGGAAGAACACCATGAACATCATCGGCGGCCACCATCATCAGCCTCCTCCGTGGAGCGAATCGATAGAGAGTGGGAGACAACGAGAGGAGTGAGAGAAAGAGCACCGACCGTCTTTTCTTTGCCAGGTAGCGAACCCATCACCGATCCAATCACCGTCCAAGGACCGTGCACGCGCCAACCACGAACCGATCACCGAATCAATGGAGCAGCGAACCAATGAAGCAGCAAACCAATCAAACACCGAAACAATCAAGAACCGATCACCGATCGAAAGCAGCAAACCGAACACCGAACCAATCACCGGAACCAACACGGAGCGAATCGACAGAGAGTGGGAGACAGCGAGAGGAGTGAGAGAAAGAGCACCGACCGACGCCGAACCAAGTAGCGATCCCATCACCAATCCAATCACCGTCCAAGGACCCAGCACGCGCCAACCACGAACCGATCACCAAATGTACGGAGCTGCGAACCAATGAAGCAGCGAACCATTCAAACACCGAACCAATCAAGAACCGATCACCGATCGACAGCAGCGAACCGATCACCGAACCAATCAACAACCGATCACCGAGCCAATCAAGAACCGATCACCGATCGACAGCAGCGAACCGATCACTATGTTGTCGCCCCCCTTGTTGGATGTGGGGTGCCTGCCAGCATGGGCTGCTGTGACTGACATTTTGGTGGGGAGCGATTGAAACACCCCACGGGTGGCCGTCACGGTAGTCGAGGACCTTGAGCACGCGCCTCTTTCGGCGGGCCCGTTCRGGTTCCTGCGTGTTCGGGATGCTGGCGAAATTCCTCTACCCTGCCCGTCTTGAAACACAGACCGAGGAGTTCAACGTGCATGCGAGCCGTAGGGTGATTAGCCCACGAGGCGGAAGAAACCTGAGTGGCGGGAACCCTCTGCGGGTGCACCGTCCGCCAACCACGATCTGYTGTGAGAGGTTTGAGTGTGAGCATGCCCGTTGGGACCCGAAAGATGGTGAACTATGCCTGAGCAAGGCGAGGCCAAAGGAAACTCTGGTGGAGGCTCGCAGCGATACTGGCGTGCAAATCAATCGGCGGACTTGGGTATAGGGGCGAAAGACTAATCGAACCGTCTAGTAGCTGGTTCCCTCCGATGTTTCCCTCAGGATAGCTGGAGCTGTTGAACAGTTTTATCGGGTAAAGCGAATGATTAGAGGCCTCGGGGGTGAAACACCCTCGACCTATTCTCAAACTTTAAATAGGTAAGATTTCGGGGTTGTATAAGCGAACCCCGAGGATCAATGAAAGCTCCAAGTGGGCCATTTTTGGTAAGCAGAACTGGCGATGCGGGATGAACCGAAAGTCGAGCTACGGTGCCAAACTGCGCGCTAACCCAGACACCACAAAGGGTGTTGATTGATACAGACAGCGAGACGGTGGTCATGGAAGTCGAAATCCGCTAAGGAGTGTGTAACAACTCACCTGCCGAATCAATCAGCCCCGAAAATGGATGGCGCTGAAG